CCCGTCCGCCTGTCAGTCCTGGTCAGGTTACCGTGCGGGGAGTTGCCTCCTCCCGCCTTTGTCCCAGCATCAGAAAGCTGGCCCTGGGCTGCCTGCCCGGTCCCACCCTCGGCATATGCCGACGTCTGCTGTCAGAAACCCCGCACAGGGGCGCGCAGTTCGGGTGGGTTCCCTAGGCATGGACATCTCTCCCGCTCCTGCACTTGAACCCCGCGTGCTCTGCCAAGCGCATGTCCCAAGGCTCCGTAAGACCCGCTAGGAAGACGTGGTCAACCCTTTCCCAATCAGAACTTTGTACGTGTGCCGTTTGCTTAAGGTTCCCTTGGACTCAGGTTGCCTAAAGTTAGGACCAATTCAGGATGAGATAAAGACATCCACCTGCTCAGTAGCTTGGAAACTGGACCCTGGAAACTTTGGAAAGGCCTTGCATGTGGCCTTTGCTGCTGAAGAAAGTCATCACGTGGGAAAGGGATCAGGCAGAACAGACTCCGTGTCTCCCTTGATAAACACACAGGAAAAAAACAATGGATCTTGGGCAGGCAGAAGACGTCATTCCAAAGCATAATTACAGCCATTTGTGTTTTCAAGCTTTTATTTATTTGTGAGTCTGGTGGGTTGACTCCCCATCCACCCACCCCTCCTCCCAGAGATGGACTGATCAGCAAAAATTTCAACTGCTAGAACATGACCAGCTACTTCAACAATATTGAGTGTACAGTTTGCAGTAACTGGTTTCTTTGATTAGGTGTATAAAGCTATTTTTAGAGTCTAGCTCTTTCCTGATTATATTTTACATTTTTCCATCACCCTCTTTTCGGTGCCAGCCAACCAGCTTGCTGCTAAAGTTACATACTCAAAATTGCACTGGCTTTCTCCAGGGTCTTTAGGATGACAAGAACCCATTCCTGTTATTTACACTGACTGATGCTGAAGAGGGCATAAGTTACATGGTACAGTCCCTGTCCTCAGCAACCTCCTAGGCCCCAGGGATGCAGGGCAAAATTCCAGCCTCCCCTGTGAAGGCTTCTGAACATAGCTTTGGGAGGGAACCTGGATCCTCTTCCATACTCCTTTCTCTGCACACAGGTCCCACCTTGTAATTGCTTAGTAAAGGTGAAATACAACTCATGAAGAATCTAGACCCACCTCAAAATAGGCCTTCACCATGTCACAGAGTAAAATGTTACTTTATAATTTCAGGCTCTGTTCAGAAGCCTACTTTCTTCCTGACCTCAGCATTTTGTAAAGAGGTCATCCCTCCTCTTTGTGGGTTTATTTGTGTCTAAGAGTTTCCTTTTCTTAGCCAGGGCCAGGCAGGCAGCTAGTTCCTGTTGCTTACAAGGTATCTACTCTACTCCCAACTCAGCCTGCTCAAGCCTGGGACTCCAGTTCATTCCTGTCTTTGATAACAATCCCAAACCTAGAATTGGCTCCTCCTCTCATGAGGGAGTCATAAATCCAGTGTTTGGAATAGTAACAGAACACAAGCATGGAACTATAAAATTAGTGGATGTTTATTGAATATTCTTTATATGCAGGCCTTGTTTTTGTTTGTTTGTTTGTTTGTTTTAAGGTGCAAAATAGGTTTATTTAGCTCATAGTTTTGGAGGCTCAAAGTCCAAATAGCAGCTGGGCACAGTGGTGCATGCCTGTAATCCCAGTAACTCAGGAAGCTGATCACAAGTTCAAAGCCAACTTCAGCCACTTAGTAAGGCCCTAAGCAACTCAGTGAAATCCTGTCTCTAAATTAAATACAAAAAAAAAAAAGGTGGCGATGTGGCTCAGTGGTTAAAAGCCCCTGGATTCAATCTTGGTACTACTACTACTAAGAAAGATCACTGACTTTTAATTGGACAAATCAAGAACCTAACTTTAGGTCAAACCCTTAGAATCTTTGTCTGTTTTCTTGACTGAAACTAGTTTAGCCACCATTGGCTATTGCAGAGATGTAATAAATGAACAAAGATTCATTTTAAAAAGAAATGATGGACAGAGACAGAAGTGAAAGAGGGGGTACTTCAGAAAACTTATAGATCAAAGAGAGTTTCCATGAATTAATTGAGTTAGAACCTGCCAGTCTAGAGGGTAATCATATCATGTTACAGTTTGGAAAGAGAACCTCAGTCAGTGCCCAGGGCAAAGGTAAAATAAGAGCCACACCTTCCAAGCAGCCAAGTCTAGAGGGGCCAAGCCCTGCATTCTTCTCTGGTCCTTCCTGACTATGCTCAGCAATCTTACCGGAGATCTGGGCCAGGGAGGTGCCTGAGGGAGAAGTCGGCACAGAGAGGAGGAAAAATCCAGAAGACTGCTATCAAGAGAGCCATAAAAAAGCTTTTAAGTGGAAAAAATGGTCTGGGGAGGGTTGAACACTGTGCATAGGGAAATCACATGTGATTAGCACATCTCCTCAGTATAACTATCCTCCATGCTCTGGATGCAGCTGTTGGGAGAATCCCTGCAGAAAACCTAGCATTCGATGGTCTTGAGGTTTCCTTTAAATAACTGTGGAAGGCAGGGTTAAAAGCCAGATACTTCACCAGGTTGAGCCTTCTTAATCTTGGGTCTAGGGGAAAAACCAAAAGGCTGGAGGAAGCACAGGGAAAAGCAATTTCTAGGTCAGCGAGTTCCTTTGAGCTTTCAATTTTGTTCATTTTGGCTGTCCTGGTTTCAGCCCAGATGTGCATTTTCCAGCCTTGGAACACATGCACTCATTTCAACAGATTCCTTTAACAGGAAGGGCTGAGAGCCTGCAGGTAAGGACGACAGGCGCTGCCCTGCAGCCCAGCATTCCCCAGGCAGCCACACAAATAGGCCAGCTGCTGCCTCGGGCAACTCCAGGGAGCTCAGACTGGCCCCTCCTGCAGGGACAGAAAGGTTAGAGCCCTGGCTGTCCTAAATAAGTAAGGATCTCTCCAAAAGGTGGGGCCCAGTCAGTAACTTACAGGCCCTGAACCCTCCCTAGGTCCTTTGCCAGTGGCTACAGTGCATTAAAGCCAAAGCCACCAACAGAGAATTTCACATGGTGCTCCAGCTTTGTGGGCTAGACTAGTGCAGTAGAGGAGTCAGATTCTAAACACCTCAGGACCCTACACAGCTTCTCTGGCAACCTAAAGGCTCTCTGTTGGAGGAGAAAACCTTGTCCATTAGGAAGTCAACAATTGCTAGGCATGGCAGCACACACCGTAATCCCAGCAACTCAGGAGGCTGAGGCAGGAGAAACACAAGTTCAAGGCCAGCCTGGGTAATTTAATAAGACCCTGTCCCCTCCCCCCAAAAAAAGAAAAAAGAAAAAGGGCTGGGGATGTAGCTCAGTGGTAGAGCACTTGCCTACCATGCCCGAGGTCTTGGGTTCAGTCAATAGTGACTGGGGGTGGGGGGAAAATTGGCATTAGGGTTTTCATATTTTGCTTCTGGTCAAAGTGAATTCCCCCTTGTTTTCATCCTCAGCTGTGGGCCTCTAACAACAGAGGACTGTTCAAATGGCTGTAAGTCTCATTGGGTTTGTCGCTTCTTAATTTACTTTTCAAGTTAAGAGAAAAATTAAATACAATTTGCTTACGCTATCCAAGGTGGCAGGAACCAGTGGGAGGTGCGTGAAGTGCCTGGGTAGACTTCACTCTGTGTCTTGTTCATCCAAGAAGCCTCAATTGCATCCTCCTGCTTCTGACCTGCTATCCAGCATCTGGCATTTGGAAAAATGAGACATTGTCCTTGTTCAATAACTCATTTAAAGAAATTAGGCAGTCCATTCTGTTTTCCTTTAATGTAGTCACAGATGGTTTCTATCAAATTCCAGACCCTGTAAGCCTGTTTCTGGACTGCATGTCCCCCTCTGTCTTCATTTTCCTCATTGTTGACCCTGCCCTTCTTTCCATTGAGTTCGCCCCACCTGCGGCTGAAGTTTTTTTTTTTTTTTTTTTTTCCCCAGTACTTGGTATTGAATCCAAAGGCACTCTGCAACTGAGCTGCATTTCTGGGCCTTTTTTGTTTTTGTTTTGGTACCAGGGATTGAACTCAGGGGCACTCCACCACTGAGCCACATCCCCAGCCCTATTTTATACTTTATTTAGAGACAGGGTCTCACTATGTTGCTTAGCGCCTCACTGTTGCTGAGGCTGCCTTTGAACTCATGATCCTCCTGCTTCAGTCTCCCAAGCCTCTGGGATTACAGGCGTGGGCTACCATGCCCGGCTCCTTTTTATGTTCTGAGACAGGGTCTTTCTAAGTTGTTGAGGCTGGCCTGGAGCTTGCCATCCTCCTTCCCCAGCCTCCAAGTTGTTGGGATTACAGGTGTGTGCCACCGTGCCCAGCAAGGAGCTGCACATTCTGCGTGGTAATCAGTGTGAAAAGAATGTGCCACAAATGTATCAGTCCAATATCCTCCCAGCTGCTCTGTCACTCTTCTCAGGGCAACAGATCAGGCAGACATAAAGCCCACCATCTATCTCTTAATGCCATGGGAATCTAGAATGTGACAGAGGCAGCATGGTAACAACCCAAACCTTTCTTTAACAAAATACTCGATCATGGTTACTTAGAAGATCAAAGGAAGAAAGTGAGACCTTAACAAATTCTCTTCCTTCTCCC